TGACCTCGGAGGAGCGCCTCCAATTCAATGCCCCCTTTTCTTGTTCGCCGAAAAACAAATCATACACTACGGACATCTCAGGGTTTCCTAACTGCCACGAACGAGTTTACCCAGGTCATTTTTGTGCAGATGTAGAGCGGTGTAGTCCTCCATGTAACGTTAGCTCTTTCTCCTCCCTCTCCAGAAACAGAAGTCTGTCCTCCGTGCTGTTGGAAAAAAAGAAAATGCACGTACTCGCCAGTGCGAGGCGCGAGTACCACAACCCCATTCATTATGTGTGACTGTCCTAATGAAAGATTATCAGTGGAAAAAACAGTAACCAAGTTAAAATGATCCTTGAGCTCTACTTTAAAGCAGCTGTCTAGGGATCTTATTCATCTACCTTCCCTTTGTCTATTCAAACTGTAGCTTGGGTATCAAAGCCATGACCATCGGCACAGATTGACATGGGCTGGCATGTGAAGTCGTGGAAAGGCTTAGGCCTATCTCAAGAGAGCTCTGCCTATAAGTGTGGATAAAGAGCCTGAAACACGAGCAGTAAGTGGCACTGCGCTTCCATGTCACTGCTCAAGCTTTCTATTGAGCTCATTTGCTTCTCTTGAGTCTGTTCAGTGGGCGCTGTCAAAGTCAGCTGCCTCTGTGAACCAGTACCCAGAGTAATAAGGAACCGACGGGAGAAAACAGATTGTTATAATCATAAAGTGTAGATTACACTGTGTGTGTTCTGTAGCCATTAAATGTCATGTCTGGTAGCTTCAGCCAGCTGTGTGAATTTACAACTTTACATTCTCTAGTGGTGGGTCATGATTCATGGACTCTACTTAGATACATGTTTGAGCTATTAGTATTTTTTTTATTTATACCTCTTTATACAATATATGTACGCTATTTTAGATGGAAATAATGTATTTTTATTCATATACACATCTTGTTGGTGGCTGATTTTCAGGTTAACAATTTACATAAACACATGATAAGATAATAAAACGAAATGCATTGTTAAAAGATTAAACCAGTGACACTTACTTGATCTCTTACATAAAAGTGGTGAGTAGCAGAGGCCCTTTGTCACCTTTCAGGTGTCTATGAATCATTTGCATTTCAAACAAAAAGTGATTTCTCCTCAGACTTTAGCTTAATCTACATTTGAGTGCTTCCATTTATATAACATGAAAAGAATTTCACAAAAAAGCAAAGATTAGAGAAAAGCCCCCAAAAAATAAACGCAAATTTAGCAGAATTTAATTTTTCTTCTGTCCCAATCCATTAGTCATCTCACAACCCCTCCAGAAGCATCTGGTGAGCCTTTGGAGGGGCCCACCACTGAGTACAGAATGTATTAGCTATATGAGCCATTTTTCTGCATAAGTATTTTTTTTTTATTTTTGGTAGTTTTGCTGATGACATTTCTGCTCTTTTACTTAATTAAGATGAACGTAGAATGTTCATGGATCTTCTATGTATCTGTAGGTAAAGGATCTGAGTGCTTTCTCTGCCACTGCTTGTCTCTGTCAGTAATGGTTTTCCTCAGTCTTCAGGGTCATGACTGTGTGGTCCTCCACCTCTCTTTGTGTCAGTCATCCATCTTTTTTAAAACCCATGTCACCAAAGCTCTGAGTCATTGAGTCCTTTTGTGGCTAGTGCTATTGCCACACGCTTTTCATCTGGCCCAGATCAACACACACAACAGCAGGGTCTCTAATGATAATGCCTCCCTGTCTGGCTGCTTGCCAGGCAAAAGGCCACTACATTAACCTGTACTCCTCTCTAATAAGCTAATAATAGTCTATATATTACCTCCTTCAACATCAATGCCACCACTCTGACTGTTTTCTAATCTCTTTATATGCAAACCATGACTTCCATTTTGCAGAGCCAAACAAATACCAGAATATTTTCCTTCTTTGCTTTAGAGAATCATTCTGAACATCTCAGTGCAGAGTCTGAAAGGCCAAGTGTTTTGTGGATGACTGAACTCGAGTTTTAAATAGAGCAGCCGCCCGGTGCCCCTGTTTAGTCCTTCTGAATCAGTGGAGCTGCCTCTTAGCTGGTTTGGAGCATGCTGGTCCACAGAAAGCAAAACATCAACAGGCCTCTGGGGTACATCCTCTCCTCCCTGGATGGCAGGGTGAAACAACAGAATTCACAGAGAGGGAGCAAGGAGAAGAGAGAAGGACAGGGAGTGAGGGGGAGGTGAGAGACAGAGGGAACTGTAGGAAAAAAGATAATTAGGACCAACAAAGAAAGAAGGTTGAGTGGCAGATGAGCAGATGAGTTGAAGAATAGGTGTGAAGTTAGACACCGATAAGTGTGAGATGAGCTACCTAGAGCTTCTTACACTTATCTGAAATGGTGCCCCACTCTTTTTACACTTATCTGTCACGGTGCCCCAGTCGTACAACTAATCACACCTCAAACTAGTGTGCATATCTTTACTCATTCACTCTTTTTCAGGTGCAAATTAAAGCCTCATACTGATTGAATCAACACCCTGAGCACAAATGATTCCTGCCAGTTAGAGACCACAACAGCAGCTTTGTGGAGATAATACAGCAAGATCTATGAGTCACGGTGGGGAGGATGCTCACACCCCATGTCCAGTGTCAGGACTGAGGAATGTTTTAATGCTTCATAAGGCTGAGCTCACACTCCACAGGTCATCAGCAGGATTATTTCTGCCCCAGTACAGCTGTTCAGAAATATGTGTGTGTGGTGCTGAGGACTGCTGCTGCTCATCCAGACCAGCTGATCACAGCTCTCTGCTCCTCCAGGCTCCACGTGGATTTATCACATGACAGCACTGGCTGATACACATAAAAAAAAAAACTCTTTGTAAGTGCAACACACACTGTCTCTCTCATAAGGCCGTTGCTAGACCTTAATGTAACTTTTAGTGACTCAAGCTGCTCATGAAGATGTCAACAACTGTAGTATAGGGACCTCAAGTGGTGAATTCTAGTAGTGCATCAGCTGAGATGTGAAACAGCTGCTCTGCTCTATCAACCCCCGCCCATCAAACGAGCACAGCGCCTGCATATTAATAGAGCAGGGCTGATGCTGTGGAATGAATCCCACTGATCCCACTGACCCGTATTTCCTCTGCCAGTTGAGCGCTGGGTGGGGAGGATATAAGAGGTGATTAGCACCAACAAAAGCTCCACTGTTACTACAGTGATGTCATTAGTTGTCAGTGAATTGATCTCTTCCCTCTGGCTTTAATTAATATGCCGGCATTCAACTTCAGTTAGCAAGACATATGGAAAATGGTAGCAAATGGTTTCACTGTGCTGAGCCGCTGTACAAGAGTCAGATTCCTGGTGTTCAACACACCTGGCCAATAAAGCTGATTCTGATTCTAATACACAACAGTGTAGGTGAGATGATCATTAATCAAACTTATTTCAGGGGTGTTTTCTCCAAACTGTAACTGAAATGCTATGCATTCATTTAAAAGGGCACTGAAGCATATGAAGTTCTGTTAATTTGTCTTGAGGACTTCTAGTCAACCTGTGACATCTGTGGCTCGAGAAGGAGCTTTCCAAAATAAAATTAAAAACTCTGATGACCCAACTAAGTTGAGTTACATTATGGAAAGTGTAGGATCCAACATTTCTGGAAACTGGCCCATACTACAGACTAAAAGTTTGAATAGTTCGACCTGTGTTGCTTGAGTTTTCTGTTTTAATCTGTCTAACCTTTGGAAATGCCTACACTTGTATCATTCAGTAGTTAAGGCTCAGCCAGGAAGGTAGACCACGTTTACTTCAAACTACCTCTCAGGACAGGAAATCCTTCTTATAAAGAAAAGACAGTTGCCAGTTTGTAAAGTCTCTTCTGTGGAGCTCAATCAGAGTCAGGACAACACTCTTGCCCTTTTACGGTATGGAATTGTGCCGGGGTAGTCTTCACAAGAACATTGTGTATAGTTTTCAACCCAAGTATGCTAACTCGGACTAATACTTAAATAATGAACAGGGTACTTCAATCACTGCTTTTGCTAGAAGTTATGATTTGAAAACCAGAAGTTATATGATTTTAAAAAAAGTCTTGTTTAACATCAATTTAAAAACAAAACCATGACATATGCTGCTGATAAAGGGATATTTGATTATCTCATCAGATAGGAAAAGCTGGAAACCTGATTTAAATAACAAATATTCAAAAGTTAAAATGATTTATTTGGGCTCCTGTGTATTGTTATAGACCACTGTTGGTCTGTGAGCAGGTAGTGTGGGTCGTTTCTGAAAAAGCCCATTGTCTCTCCTTCATTTTAAATCATTGCAGAGAAAATCTGTGGTATTAACTGGGCAGAGCGTCGCGCTCCAGAGCCTGGACGGGAAATGCTGAGTGTGCCAAAGGTCAACAGAAAAGGCTCTGATCGGTGCATGGGTGTATCAGTAGAAAACAGGGAGAGGGAAAGAAATGAGAAGTAGAGAAAGGAGGTTTAGTGAGACAGGAGAGAGAAAAGACAGAGGGTTGGGGGTGGAGAAGGTGGTGGAAGTGAAATGTGATCATGTCCTGGAGCTGCTCAGACAGCTGGGAAGTTCCCTCCTCACCAGTGGCTTTCAGCTGGGAACACTCTGAGGAGGCGCTGGGGCTCCAGGCTTAACCCTTCATCGGCCAGTGGGGCACTTTAAATAACAACACAAACACCTTGGAGCTTAAGTCACATTTATTGATTTTAGCCAGTATGACTACCTTTACACAGACGCACCCCGTCTCTACTAGAAAACAAACAAAACACTTTCATAGTTTAGTTCAGCAGTAATACATCAGATTTAACTCCCCTGTGTTTTTTAATACCCCGGAAAAAAGTTGACATGTTTGTTTTCAATTCTGTGTAAAGGTCCCATGGCTGAGAAACATGCATATGATGTTTAGCTGTAATCAATATGCCACTAATCATAATGCACATTATTGATAAGAATACAGTACTGCATGGCAATTCAAATAAATACCAACATACAAGTGAAGTTATTTCTTATAAAGATATCAAACTCTCATTATGGGTCAATACTGAAACACAACATAACAATATAAAGTTTGCACAGCTAATTTTATTATCACAATACTATTGCTTCCAGCAAACAGAAAACTTCTTTTTTCAAATGTAAGAAAAAAGCATCTGAATTGCACTTTAGTTTTTAGCTACTCGTCCGTATTGGTAACTTTAATGCCTCAACAAACAAGCACTGGCTATAATGGCACGACTCAAGCTTGTTGATGCTTATTTTGTTTTCTGTTTCCTGAAAACATAATGTTCAAAGATGAAGTAAAAAAAAAAAAGACAATAAAAAAAACAACCAACAAAAACTCAAACTGGACAAAGAAAAAGATATAATGCGCTCTCTGCACATTTTTCAACAATACTATTGATATCACATTACCTTCACCAAACAAAGCAAGAGATACGTAGATGTTTCCAATAGTACACTGATCTACCCCAACACAATATAGGTGCTTGGAGCATTTTGTTCGATAGCAGGAGGCCAAAGGGATTGCTTTTGGTTCCCAATGTTTGATTTAAAAAAAACACAACCTTTTATTAATACCCCTGAAGTTATTGAGCGGATCACTGACCTACAGAATTCAATACAATATCAGCTTGATTGAGCTAATTTCAAAACTATCATCTCACTCATGCAGAAAAGGAAGAAATTCCCTTTGCACTTATTGCTGCTCACAGTCATTTTGAACCAAAAGTCCTCACCTATCTAAAAAGAAACCATAACACACTAGTCTAAGATTCTCCCTTGAAACAATGAAAGGCACTACTGGTCAGAAACGAAGAACTAAACAAACCAAAAACAAAACCCCGGCGCTTGCGGAGAGCCATGGCCTGAACTACGCCGTTCTCACTGACAGCTTGTCTTCTTTCCGAGTCTTGATTCTTTTCGATCCAAACAGTGCACCAAGATTTGGCACGATAAACAAAGAGAGAATGAAACCATTCCAATTTGGAATTTAATCGTCGCACTTGCAGAGAATTCTGAAAGTCAGTGATCCCGTTTCAGTGGAACGCCCTCGGTAAGAAGCTAGGAAAAGCACATTGCGTCACTCAAATTTTTCCCAAAACACAACTTACCTATTTGAATCAGAGCGTTGTCAAGTTTCACTGTTATTTTGAACTATTCCTAGGAATAATAAATACATGAAAAACCCCAGAATTTGATCACCCTGGATTTTTTGTAGAACATGGCAGTTGAACAAACAACCGAAAACAGCATAACATATGAACAAAACATGTTAAAAAAGATTATTTGATGGATAAAATCTTGAAAATAAAGTCATAATAGTAGGTCTATGGTTTGTGGAGCCTTTACTAGAGTAAACAGTCCCTTTAAAATCAGATAATTCAGGAGGGCATATAATTCTATAGTCTCATAACCTATACTGAATAATTCACAAACCATAGTACTACCATGTTTTCCTATAGGTTAATAAAAGTCTGTTATAATCCTATATAATGAAAGTGCACAGATTAAGAAAACAACAAACTAAAATAAAAAAGATGAAACCAAACAAAACTGTTTGTTGATTTACACTGAGATACAACGCCATGTCCCCTGGCTTTTCATCGGAGGGTTCGATCAGCCAATCACAAACCCCGGTCAGTTCACTGAACTTGTGAGAAACTGGCTTCCAGCAGTAGCACGCAAAACCAAGTGCATCTCTAATCTACGTCACATTTTAGTGTTCAACAGGAAAAGGAAGGTCAGTTGATTTGACTTTAAAATCAGTGATTTTCTTTAGCATTTTCACTTGTCCAAGTCCAAATAGCCTACAGTGCTAACACTTTTCGACGAACTCATTCAGCTGTGAGAATGGACCTTGTGTCGGTACTTCGTCATCCGTGCAGAGCTACTGTAATTTACTGCAAAATGGAGAAACAAAGAAATGATCAGCATCAACACTGTCGGTCTGTTTAGAGCCACTGTTAACATGGTCAGTCCACACAGACAAAGTAGACGGCGGTTGTAATTAGTGAAAGCAGCAGAAGCCAATGTTAGAAGCCCCGAGGCAGCTGGTGTTGTGCATGTCAGGAGCCTTCCTGTCAAACCAACATTGCCAATATGTTACAGAGGAGCTGATGTGGAAGCATGCTCACCACAAGGTATCCTGCGGGTGCAGTTAGGAAACCAGTGACTCACGAGTACCAGGACCTTTCATTCATAGGACAGAACTGAAGCCTCAACCCGCCAGTCAAAGGAGATGGGTCTTTCTCATATGCCATGCAAGTTAATGAAAAACAGGTTATGGTTTTTGACATGCAGGCTTACTAGATGCATTGTGCTTAGTAAAACTTAAAGGTGGAGCGGGAGACGCCTGCAAGCAGAGGTAGGAGGAGCTTTTTAGGTGGCACGCTGTTATGACACCTGATAAGCCAGACATTGATTTCAAACTACATGGAGCAAAGTAGGGATTCACCTACAGTATCAAAGGTGAGGGGTTAGAGTCACAATCACATCCTGGGGTCTATTTAATCCACAGAGCCTATACAGGAGAAGGGCTAGGGGCTCAACTAATTTGAATCAATGTCCTCTGGTTGACTGAACAACCAGTCATTCCCCCCCCCAACCCAAATGTTACCAGGGGTTTCTCCCACAGGAAACCCCTGGACTCATTTCTCCACAGTGTCAGAGCCAGTGTCAGCCAGACATCTGGCTTTCTTCACCAGCATGTCTCGCTTTCTTATCTCCTCTCTCAGGAGCTGGTTTACAACATGAGGAGTTCACCCCCCTCTACTCCTCTAACCTTTTCTACATCAGCACAAACAGATACAAACTGAATATAGCACACTTGGAAATTAATTAATTTAATCCCAAAAGTAAGAGTGATTAACCTCTAAGGAGGTTGCTTTTTTTTGTCCTTTTTCCTTAATGTGTACGACAGCCATGTCTCCATGCTATGTGCTGTGGCTTATGGATGCACACTCAAGCAGGGTTGACAGCTGACGTTCCATTTCCAAGGAACAAATGAGCTCCCTCTATTTGAGAGGAAGGAATACTGTAGTAGGATCCTGCAAGATTATAACCTGAACAATGATCATATCAAGAATATGGAATACGATATATAGCTTAGTAGGAGTAGTAAATGCATAATTTGATCAATCTTGCAAGACTTCCTCACATCAACCCTGCTTTTAGCATCAGAAAACTAATGTGTCTATGTTCCACAAGCAGTACATGGATTTATTAAACACAAGCCCCACTTATATTTTTTCCTATTTGCGTAATGCTAGCTTGCAAGGGGTTAAAGCTATTGTGGATATTAAAACTTGTCCTCACGCACCAAACAACAAAGAAAAGGAAATGAGAGACCCTCCATTTTCAAAGGTTAAAAATGCTATACACACATGAGGGCCCTTCATTTCAACACTGATATGCACACACAGGCAAAACAAAAAAAAATCCATCAGGAATACAACATACGTGAGGACGTTACCTGACAAAAATATTCAGAGGGCAATTTTCCCCACAATTCCTTATTCTAGTTAAAGGGTGAGTGGTGATGCTGAGGGAGCAAGCTGCTGACAATCTACAAGAGAGAAGGTCATTATGGTGACAGAGTGACAAGAAACAGATTAGAGACACGAGGAAAGGGTTTTCAGCCACATATCCACAGAGAAATTATTGGAATGCTATGAGTAATCTCATAAAAATAGAGGATTGGGGGGTGGAGGAAGGAAAGGAACAGTGTTACCTCAAGATGAGACACAAGGACAGGGCTTTACATCAACAGATGGATCAAATGTTTGAGCTGACAGGCACTTTTGCCAAGTGGTTTGCAGATTTGTTGTCCAGATGTGGGTGCCTTTTTGAGTTGTGCTCTTTTAGGATTCACACTCCATATTTGAAAAAAAATTGTCTTTGATCAAAACTATATTGTATCTCTGTTCACAGTAATCATCTGATCCATTTTAGCATAAGTAGGAACCTGAGGCACCTATGCTGAAGTGCACTTAATTTGGGTATAGAGATCGATTTGTCAAACTTTCTTTCTTTCTTTCTTTCTCATAATATGGCTCTGAAAGGATCCATCGCAACAGAACGGGTCACATGGAATAGATAGCCCTGCTGTATTTCACCAGACACCAAGTAACTCCTCTCTTTACAATGTAGAGCCCTGCAGTACACGACTTTGTCTTGTACCACCCACCTCACAACAGAAAAACAGTTAAAAAGCTCATAAGCGTTTTCAGCTGCAAAGCCATGCGGTTCTACTGATCCTATTGTATTGGTGTGCTAGCATCACAGCTTTGAAATGACCCTGAAGTAAACACCTGTGGTCACAGGTGCTCCTTTTCTGCCCAGACAATTACATCATAAAACCATCAACCCACCTATGGGTTTTTGAATTTCTGTGTAGAATCACACTGTGCTCCCCTAGCAAGAAAGCAGAGGGAGTTTGCATATTTTAGACACTTTTTCTTCTTGTAAACATTTAGAAGTAACCTGATTAGACAGTGGGCTGCTGGACCCCCATGACCAACCTGGCAGGGGAGAGAAGGGGGCTTTTATTGTTTAAAAGGAGCACCAATGCCGACAGAAGAGCCGAAGAGCAGAGGATGTCATATTTAGTCACAAGACCATCAGGGTGACATCCTCTTTACAAGTCCCCACCTCTACAATGTGTAACTGTTACCAGGCAATACACTCAGGGGACCAGAACACACACACACAGAAGCTGCCACCTTTTACATTATACGTACAGCACCATGACAGCGGAAAGAATAGACACTCCATAATATCCACAAAACCCTCAATGTAACCAGGGCCCAATAACCCACATACCATATATGTCTACTACAGTCCAAACGTCTAGTGCACACTGTACATACATCTGCATTCCCCTAAGCATTTACACTAGCACACGAGAGCGGCCGGTTAGTCACACAGCAGTCCCTAAAGGAGCGCAGACTGGCCAGGGAGCTAAGCGAGCAAGTGGGGCTCTTTAACACTAAACAGGGAGGGTTTGGCCTGTAAGACCCCTCCCCTCTGTACACAGCAGTCCCTTGCGGACTCCTCAGCCGCTTCAGTCACAGTAGATCTTGTACTTCTCACTGCAGAAGACCACTGGGCCTCCCAGAATGCCACTGGGCAGAGCATTGTTGTGCTCTGGTTGGCCGGAGCCAGAGCAGGTGAGACTCTGACTTACATGGGGGTTGTTGGTGGTGCTGCTGGCAGCCTTGCTGCGGGTCTTAGCTCGGCCGGCGTTGCCTCCCCGGCGGGTCTGCTCGTGGTCAAACTCCAGGTCCTCCAGACGCTGTGTCAGGGCCAGTTTCTGCTGGATAGCCATCCGCAGCAGTGAGTTGAGGGTCTTCTTCTCATCCTCGGCTGCGGTCAGCTGCCTCTGCATCTCATCCAACTGGGTGACGTATTCGTCACAACTGTAAGAGAGACGGGGAGAGAACACTGTAGAGTCAGATACATGGCGGTTCAACTGGAACTGAAGAACATCAGCAACAGCTTTTATCACCATCAGTCATTTTCTGTGTTGTACCACCAGGAGGCACTGAGGCTTCCAATAACACCAAAAAGTCTCTGACTCAATGGAGAAAACTATTTGTTAGCTTTTTGTTACTCTTGCATTACAGCTTTAGAAACTACAACCACCATTTGCATACCTGACCTGTATGTTTCAGATACTTGACATCAATATAACGAGTAAAACAACTAAAACTGAAACACTTTGAGATCATGACCTTTCCCCTGGTTACACTGCATTTTTGCTGCCACCGAGTGGCGCCACTGAGCTACACAGTACACACCAGCAGAGCTCCTGCATTAATGAACTTCTGATTTCAACTTCCTACTCCACACATACATCAACAAACTCAACATAGCAACATAATAAACATGCACTTCCTCCTTCATACGACATTAATTCCCTTCACTTTGTGCCTGAAATGTACTCACCAGTTCTTTATTATTAGTAATTACTAATGCTTTGCATGTTGTCAAAAATGGTATGAAAATCAGTGCTTCTTGGATGGATATGGCTGCTGCGACACAGTATGGTGTTACTATTCATGAACAGGTGAGACATCTTAGGGTAGCTTGCAGCTTCTGTGCATCTACTGTATGTGCGGTAGAAGTTGAGAATAGATCTCACACACACACACACACACACACACACAAAGGATGACAGGATTACCCTAGGGGACTTCATCTGAGAAACAGGCTCAGGAGCGAAGAAAAATGAAGATGGGGACAAGAGAATCTAGTTCACACCTTATCTCCACATTTCCACCAGGAGCGAGACTTTTATCACTCCAGTCCATTTCTTCCATCTCCCATCTGAGTGCTAAATCGCACACAACATGATGTCTGTATACCAACTGTTCTATATCACTGGCTGCTGCACTGCATCATAATCACCTGCCTCGCAGTCCTCGTGTATGTGCATACGCATGTGCATCTAAAGCTGGACAGGGATAAAAGTGGGTCACCAAAAGAGATTTCAAGGTGGGTGCGTTCATATCTCCGCTCTCATCTACTACTCACTTTTCATTTCATGCTTTTCTCCTTCCCCGACCCTTGCTTTTCATTACCTTGCTCTCTCATTCATCTCTCTTTCAGCAATGTCCTCTCTCCTGGCTCTTATGTCTCTGAAGGCTCTTTTTGCTCCATCGCTTTCTTGTTGCTGTCTGCCTGCATCAGTCGCTTTCTCTCTCCTCATCTTGCTCACCCCTACTTTCTCTGTTGCTGACAGAGCAATCTGAGGCATTCTTCAGTAATGACTGACACATCTCTATAAAGAGAGGAGCTGGTAATGTTAGTAAGCATCGCCTTATTGTCTGACTGTGCAGCACCAAAACTGTTCAGACATAAGTAACAGGTAGGTTAACACCCTCTCTGGTGTTTTCTTTATCTGGAAATGTCAAGACCTGAACAATGTTTAGCCTCACAAGAATGCAGAAATCCTATTTATGTCAAATCATTAACTACTGTATTCCACTGTCTATGAGCTATAATTCCCAGAAGGAACCCGAGACCTGGTTTTGTTTGGTTAGTGGTTGATGATTTTTTTGAACTGCAACACAAACCCCACCCCTAAAACAGAAAACACACTGTCCAACGTAAATATAATCTTATGGTTGTGTCATATAACCATATCTTTTTCTAATAACCAAATTTTTTATCTTTTACTAGGTTCCAGTTAAAATAAGATATTTCCGAGAGTGCAGCGTTATTGTGTTGTCCTGGCAGTCCTTACTTTGTCTTATTTCAAGGTATGGTCACTTATTTATAGGAAATCTAAAAACTATGTGAACTACAAAAGGAACAAGTTGCACCTGTAAATTATGTTCTTGTTTTAGAAAAAATAAGCCCAGAACATAATCTGGGACCCAAAAGACAAGTAACCGCAGGTGTTTTTGCTGCGTGTGATGCTGCATGTGGTTGTGTGCCATGTGAACTCTGGCCTTGCCAGACCTCCAGGCAAACATAAACCTTACCCACTCCTCTTGTCTCAGTCTGATTCCCTTTGGGACACACACCCAGACAACAGAGATCAGTGCTGCTTCATTAAATCCAGTATGAGATGGGGAGACGGCCCAGGAGTAGGGCGTGGTGTGCCTTCTGATGGTTCAGCCGCTCTTGCATGAGAGGCTGAGGGAGCGTGCATTTTTCCCAGGAAAAAACAAAACAAAACCAAAAAAAAACCAGAGAAACCTATTCCAGGGACTGAAGGGACACAATAGGAGCCTTTTGGCCAGCTGATGGGATGTGGTGGCACAATGGGTGACGGGGGGCCGGGGGGGCGGATGCTGGTCTTTTGAGAATGAACAGTTACATATTCACTCTGACAAACAGCCACTTTATCTGCATCTTGCTGTGATGACGTACAGTCGCCAATGGGATTTATGGCTGCCTAAAGACACCCTAGATATTGCAACATTTATGTTTCACAATAATGCATCCACAGCGCGTCCGCTCACACACACACACACACACACGACCTCGTCCTCTGTTGTCTTGTCTGGGGCTTGATTGGTCATGGTGGAATGGATATCAGACAGAGCAGGGAAGAAACAATGATGAACAGAAGATGCAGCTAACACTAGAACGGCAGGATCACTGAGGGTATATGTTTGAGGAGAAAATGTGACTTGGGCTAATTGTCTGGCTGTTAACCAGTATGAGAACATGCCGAGACATGTCTCAGGAATGTTAGTGGCAGGAGCTTACTGTTAACATGACACCACAGGCTGCAGCTGGAGTGGCACACTCACACAGCAACAGATGCACATACACACCCTGGAAACGCGCTCAGCCCTATGTCTCTCTCATGAAATTCTCAGACAACGTAATGCATTTTGAAAATCTCAAGTAACTCCAACCTATAAGGCTGCAGGTATGAGATCACACATAGACAACACATTTGTATCTGAGTTTTCCACATCTTAGAAATTCACCTATACAGACTTTCCCAGGCAGCTCTAAAGAAAGCCTGCCCCCTTTCCACTCTTTCTTTTCAGATGACCAGAAAACTGGCTGATGGCAAGGAAGGACAGAAGAGGGGACATGGAGAGACAAAAGGGGGGGAGTGTGGGAAACCTCTCTTAGGCGAGTCCCCCAGCCTTTCAAGGAGTTCCCTACCCTGACTCTTTGCCGTACAGAATTTACATACCAATACATGAACCCCTCAAACAGACTAAATGTAATTCATGCAGCCTACTGGGGTTGGGTCCTCAACTACATCACCATAAGAGGAAGTGCTTTGTACAAAAGGATGATACACATGGTGGTGCAGTAAACAGCAAGTTCTAATGTGTTGTTAACATTTTCAGTGTCTCCACCAGAAGAGACTCGAGGAAACAGACACTTCACAATGGCTCTGCTTCTTCACAGGAAACAGAGCTGTTTCTGCTGCAACAATGATAAATGATACAACTCTTGGGCCCCTGAAGGGTTAAAAAATGTCATTAGTGGGAGCAAGACCTAACTCTCTATTAGCCCTGGCTTCCTCCAAATAGTTTAGGATTACACCTACATCCTCTACCATCTGGCTCTGCAGTGCACCCTGATAACACACAGTCATACACAGAAGAGTTTGCCGCCTGTTACTAATTGATTAGACACTGCAGCTTTATGGAGTTACTTCAGAAAGCACACATCAAGGACAGACACTGAATTACGATATGGCTAAGATGAGGGGTGCTGAGCCCACACACTCCCAGCAGTACCTTCATTCTACTAAATCTTACCTGGTTATATTGTGTATGGTCTTTGAATGATGCATGTGCAGTAGATTTAAGAACAGCTATAAGTTATACAAGTCCTCTTTGTTTACTGCTGCTGCTTCAAGTTCTTCTATAGTAGCACAGCATAGCGGCACAGTTTGGGATTCATGCCACTCCATGTGGGTAAACAAGAAGAACTGCTTTTATAGCAATTTCTTCTTGAAATACTAAGAGGGGAAACATTTTGTGAGGTTGGAATAATATGTCAGAGAAATGCTTGTGTGTCTGATATGAGCCCCGAATGCTGATATTCACTGAGCACATGAAGATTTGTTCCCTACCGTGTGGCAAACATGGCTCGAAGTGAGGAAAAGGTCGCAGCGTCTTCCTTCAGGGCTTTGAGCTCATTCCTCAGTTTCATCATGGTCTCTGTCACCATGGCCTTCTCGTTCTCATACTTGCTCTTCAGATTGGCCAGAGCAACTTCAGCCGTCTGTGGGTGGACAAGAAGAGTAAAAGGGTCAGAGCAGCTGGAGGGCGTCAGGGATGCATTTCCTGTCCCAAGAAGTTTGTTAATATGGACCATATGACCAATTATGTGGTTTATGAGGGGCTTTAATGTCGGTGCTGTTGTTGAGTAACCACACTCGTATGTTAAAGAACTACCAGAGCACCTGCCCCTGGGTTTGGTTTGGAGGGCTGTTCTTCAGTCCTAAATATACAGACACTTTGTGCAGCTGACACCATAAGATTGATGTCTCCACCGGTGTTTGTCAGAGATCTTGTCTGCAACACATTTGCTGCAACAGCTGAATAGGCCTGAATTAGCTGACAACCTCTTCTTCTGTTTCTGTCTTTCTAGGAAACCTGCCAAATGTTTGGCCATATAACTTAGCCGGTTAAATAGAAATTTGGACTGTAATAAAGACTAAATTCAGCCAACCTGCTTGTTGGCCTTGAGGACAGTCCTCAGGGTCGCAATCTGTTCCCTCTTGGTGCTGAGGAGGGACTTTAATTTGAGAATCTCCTCCATGCAGGCTTCCTTGTCCTTGTCGGCCACGGTGCCGAGCTCCAGAGAGGCCACCCTCTGGCGCGACAGTTCGGTGGTGCGGTCCACAGCCAGCTGCAGGTGCTTGATCTGGTCTCTGATGATGGCCACTAGATTGTAGATGTTCATGGGCTCACGGCGGTGATCAGACACAGGAGAAGGCAGGGAGGAGACTGGTGAAGGTACTCCGTCGCTTAGGTCGGTCTTACCATGCTCAGGGAAGAGGCCCTTGGTGATCAAAATGGGAGAGCGGCGGCCACGACCCTCTGGGCTGCTACGACCACCCTTGCCCTCCTTGTAGAAGTCGAGCATGACACGGTTGGGTGTTTCATTGTTGCACATGCACACGTGGTTGTACAGGGTGGCCAGTTCTTCACTGAAGGTGACTAACTCATCCTGTGCCACGCTCAAGCTGCCTTGGGACTCACCTGCCACGTCGCTTAACTGAGAACACACAAAAAGAAATGCATCAATTTTTTGTCTTAAATTTATGAAAACACCAGATTTACCACTTAGTAGAATGTCAGTATCAAGAGCAACATGTCACCTTGCGCAGTTCCTTCTCTAGCTTAGCCTTCACTTCTCTGTCTGTCTGGCTTGTCTTCTCCAAAGTCGCCAGCTTCTCTCCCAGTGTTGTGACATCACTCTCTAGACGGGTGCGCTCCTCTTCGTAACGTGATTGACAGGTCTGGTATTCTGCTTTCAGAGTCTTCAGTTCCTCCTTCAGCTCTCCTGCCTCTGACACAGCAACCTAGCAAAGCAATGGTAGGATGTTTGTGTGTGTCTGTCTTGACGTAATATAGATTACATGTAGATTTAAAGCTTAATCTAATTATTTGTGCCATCCACTCTGATCCACCAGAAGACAAATTACCTTGTACTTGCACTCCAGGATTTCAGGTCCATTGATGTCCACCTCATAATAGTCTCCATCTTCATGGCTATCACGTTCTTTCTCATTGTCCAAGGCAGACTGGTGCTCCTTGCTGGCTTGGAGCTTGCGGATGGCGTTGAGGTTCTCTGTAAGGCGGCTGACCTTCTCCTGATGCTCTGACAGAGCACCATTAGCCTGCTCTAGCTGTTTCTGGGAGTCCTGAAGGTTGGACAGCAGGCTGACCTTCTCACGCTCCATCTGACAGTGATGAAACATGGAATAGTCATACTTTATGTCTGCGATGAAGAGTACAGTGCTCTCTGCTTGGCTTATTATAGGCATGTAATTTCACATAGAAATTTCTTGGTAATTTGATCATGCGAAAGATTCCGGCTTTGAACTTGGCAGGTCACGTTAAATCAGTGGATTATCTGTCACATGGAAACTACCCACTATCGGCTTGTGTTGCCAAAGTATGTTAGGCTCATTGCCCAGTAGTCCAGTGTCAGAGCGAGGATGACCTTGACAATTTGCTGGACTCATTTCAGCTCTATACTGCCAGAGACGCTGAGTGGGTCATCTTACACACACATGCCCACAGTTGTCAAGCACCAAGCTATTTCACAAGCTGATCTGTAAGTGCAGAATATATAATGATTCATTTCGAAAAGAGATGGCAGGCTTAATTAGCATGGCTTGTCACGTCACCACAAATGTCTGTGGAGTACACAAGATACTACTGACACTGATCCTTTGTGAGTGTGAATATTTGTCGAACTCCAAGAACTGGCCATCTCACTCCTGCAGAATCTATACAGGATGTTGTTAAGTACTGCCAAGGACTAAAAGGGTGGTATTACTCAAGGAGCGGATTTCTGTGCTTGATCACTTAAGACCTAAGCAACAGAATGAGATAAGGTATGGGAGCAATACAGCATGGCTGAATGAGTCAAGGAAGCTGTTTGTTTCCTCTGCTCTGCTCCCAGTCAGGAATCTGTGGCTTCAGCAGGCAGAATGACATGCACTTGGGTCACATCATACACAGGGCTTTGTCAGAGTTTGCCAGCTTCAGCACCACAGCGGACAGGTTGAGAACCAGAAGTGAGAAGTACTCACAGCAGGGCAGCACAAGGCAACTTCAAGTTCACACACACTAATGCAGCAAACATGTTTGTTTGATGAAGGGAGAGGGAAAAAAATCCCTAATCCCTAGGTCCGCAAAACAACCATCATCCCCAGGTTCCCAGTACTTTCCTGTAACCATGGTGCCCAGTCAAACATCCATAGGGTGATGAGCAAGCAGATGGCAGGTCCTCCAGTGCCACCACCGGCTGCCTCACAGCCCAGCTGAGCCTGTGTGTGTATGCATGTGTGTGTGTGTCTCTCACAGGATTAACGTCGCTCTAAGGGGATTTAGATCCCAGCAGCCCAAACACACCTCCCACATGTCTGTCTTGAATTATTTTGCGGTAACTAATGTCAATCTAGTTTGTTTTGGGGAGAACACAAATTCTACTAAACAAGTCATTCACATCACAATCTGTAAAAAATGTACTCTTCTGCAATTAATTTATTGATTTAAATTGATTATTTACTAAAACTGAACTGCACTGTTAACAGACAGGTGATGCTTTCAGTTTCCTGTGGTGATAAAATCACACCTGCATCAGCTGCTGTTTGAGCTTCTGGATCTCTGAGATGTTCAGTTCGCTCAGCAGGTCGTCCACAAGGCTGGGCGCAGGGCAGAACAGTTCTTCCTTGTTGGGTGTGGCGATGCGGTTGTCATCAGTGATGGCATTGACCAGTTTGGTGAAGCCATTCTCATATCCGTGTAGAGCCTCGTCGTTGTTAGGTTCAGTGGCGGCATCATCGCTGAACTTGAGACCATCCAGAGAGATGCTAAGTGGGCTGAAAGCAAAATGAGGAAATGGAATGTTATTTAGTGCTCGTTACAGCGTGTGCAGAAACCTGTGCACTGAGTTGTGCTTTATTTACCTGTGGTATAGGGTGTCTCCAATGCTCATGTAGTGGGACAGCTCTTTCCTCAGGGAAGCCTTCAGCTCACGCTCAGTCTTGATTGTCTCCAGGGCCTCGCCCAGCTGCCGCTCAGCGATCTCTTTTAGGCGGATGGCATCCTCCAGCTGACTGTTTAGGAACTGAGTATCCTCCTCCAGACGACGAATCTCATGTTTCAATCCCTCAAACTCCACCTGGGAAGAAGAAGGAGAAGGAGTAACTTGAATGAATTTGTATTTGTTGTCTAAGAAATAGAAGCCGCTTTTGTTTTTCTCCCCCATGATGTATAAAGAAAACATAACCCAAGTCAACAAGCACATATCAAGAGAACAGCTCAAGTGTTCAGTGACAGTCAGCATCAAATGAGAACATTCTACTTGGAAATTCAGCTATGTTTTAGTCTGCAAATGTGCATAAGGGACTTTTTTTTCCCTTTCTTCTCATTTGAATAAACCCAGGAAGTGTTTTTACAGTACCATGAAGTGCCAGAATCTCTGGTGTAAAGAGTGATAGCTGTTAGTCTGTGAAACACCTCCACAATCTGGCACTAAAACAACACAAATGCTGCTGCTTATCTTTTTACCGTTTCAGATGTTTTTGTTATTCTAATTAAATCTGAATATTAAAGCGCTTCTGCTTCTTTAGGCAGTCTAATAAATAGAAGAATGGGGCACACCGAGTACATAAATGAGATGCCTAAAGCTATCAGGTTAGGTGGGCCTAAATGGAAGAGGCTGCACACTGATGACCACTAGTGAAGGTCAGTTTACCAAGAAGGGGCGTTCTGCGCTTATTCCCCTACCAATCTCTCCTCATTTTTAGACTGCAACCCCACCAGTCCCATTATTTACATGATTCAAGCTTTGCACGTGTTAAGCGGCTCCACAATCCTCACCTGGCTCTGTTTGAGCATGGACACCTGCTTCTGCAGCGAGATGTTCTCCTCCTCCAGCTCGGTGTAGTCCTGCAGCAGACGAGCCTCCCGGAACTTGTACTCCTTGATGTCATCCCGCAGCTGATTCCTCTGGAGCTCCACCATCTGACTGTTCTACAGGGTCAAACAAGACAGTGGGAGATGAGGAAGAGCAGTCAGTGGCCCCTATTTGAATCTCATTTGACTGAGTGTGGAAGAGATGGTGGTTGATTGCATACTGTTGCTTTAGTGTAACTGTGTGTATCACTTTGGCTCTTTAACATGCTAAATCTCACTGGATAAGTAGGGGTTTCCATCGGGCGAAACCAGTTCTGTGAGTGTGCCTGCTTTATGTTCGAGAGGGAGATGCCAGGTGTCTTTCTGGGCAGTGGGCCACAAGCGTGCTCGTCTGCCAGCTCTGATGGCATCAAAACAGCTGAAGCCTACTAGTCTCTCTCATGGTGACAAGCACTCATGGTCTAATTTTCTACTGAGGAGTTAGATTCGGCTTGATTCTGTGTCCAGGAAACTACAAAAACTAATAAAGATAACTGAGGAAACTAGAGGAGATTAGAAGCTGTGCAAAGTATATCAGAATCAGAATTTAAATCAACGTTTTGGAAAATGTTTGAACATTTTCAGGCTTTAATGGTAATCAATGTGATAATGTGTGTCAGTGAAGCAATATGCTAAACAGGTAATGCAAAAAGTAGCTACGTTAACATTCACTTAGTTATTAGAAGCAGCACTAGTGTTTGTACTGTACTGTAAGCACAGCTAGTTCTTTCTCTGCTCAGCAAGTGGAGCATTAATTATAAAGTTGAAAGAGACAAGAGCCGTGCCCTTCCCCCACTCAGACACAAACTGAAAGACAGAAGGATTTGATCTGTCCTACTGAGATTACTAGCTTCTCTGTTTAACCCTCCATCCTCATCTTTCAAGGTCTGTCACTGTCCTCCCACCCCCTACAGACTCATCTGAAACAGAGCCCTGCAGGACATTTGGGTAGGAGACATCTTAGCCTGCCGTTTTCAGAGAAACAATCGATTAAAGCTCTGCGGTATGGGGACACTTGCACGCAGCCTTCCTGAGCTGAATAAATACACATGAGTATATGTGTAATGTGAGAAAGAAGGGGAAAGCATGTGAATTTAGCAGCGTCTCAGCTGACCTTGGATGTTCATATGTACAAGTGAACACACCTTTTAGAGGGTGTGTGTGCAGGTGTAGACAGTGCTGTCCGTCTCTGCATGAATTGATGGCAAAGCTTTAATCCACACACTAGACACACAAATAGTTGTGCGTTATCTCCTGAACACGTGCAGAATGAGTCTATATTTAGAGTAAGAGAAAAATGCTTTACATGCAGTAGGGTTAGGATTTGTCTGTGGCTGTGTGATGCATGTCTTCTGAGGAGGAGAGCTGGCAGACATAACCTAATACCAGAGCGACAATTAGCCTTCCCGTCTCTTGCCAGGTGGCCCCTTCCTCTCAAGCTGTCACCATGTGGCCGTATCACATTCTCTGCTCTTGGATCGCTTCAATGATCGCAAGAAGTCAATCCTGAGAGGCTTTCACTTCGCAGACTTTCTTGTTCCAAGTACTGCCTTCAGATGAGTGCAGTAATATTATTCAGTGAAACAGAGGAGATAATACGCTAGTGGTGACAGGTATCCTGATGGTTAAATAACTAGAACGTCAGAGGTTTGATCACTTTGCCTATGATGTGCTCAGACCTCATAAGACAATTTCTTAGGTACATACTCTTCATAAGTACTGCATTATACAGTAATATAGCTGTAGTAACAATAATTCAACCTCCAAAATATCCAATCAAAAACAATTTACTGCCCTTACTCTGTAATTTGTTCTTACTCACTCATTCATCTCACTGAGAGACGAATACGCTGACAAATACTGTGTTGCTAAATCCTTACTGATGGATCGTACATGCTCCTTGATTTTCTGTGCGTAATGATTAATCGCTACGTGTAGAGCTGAGCTGAGGCTGACATTTGAAGGCGCATTCATATTCATCAGGGCTCCGCGCATGTCTAATGAGCATGGGTGTCTGCTGTGCAAAAGTCCTAATGCTGGTGCATTACTGAATACTGCATTAACATACAATACAGATCAGTCCTGTCACTAAGCCTCAACACACTGGTCCTGATTTAGGAGAGAGAACTAAATTAAGGCAAAAATGGAAACGAGCTGGAATCAGACAAAACATTCACAGACTCAGTTACTCTGGTTGTCAGCTTTGCAGAATCAATCAACATACACAATTTATTCATAAAGACTTTGCACATAATCTCATTAAGCCATGCCATCTGTTCAGGTCTTTTCCTGGTCAGGGTTATGTGCCTCAGCTGGGGGGGTCAAAAATGTTTAGTCCCAATGAATACAGGCTGCCACTGAACCTGATTAAGACCTTCCTTCAGTCTGATTACAATGCATAAGGGGGCTTTGACCTTTCACCTTGCTTCCACGTCCTCTGCTCCACTGAAACCCTCAGAGACTGGGGGTGGGGTTACTGTGCCTGGCCACCTGATAGAAGTTGATCTTAGTAACTTCAGAGGTCGTGCGTTTCTGCTATAAAGTGTAAATCACATTTAATCAGGCGAGAGTCACAGGTACTGTACCTCCTGTGAATGCTTGTGATAAATCGGGATTGTGTGTGTGTGTGTGTGGCTGGTTAAATACTGGGGTGTGAAATTTTGAAGGCCATCTGAAGTGTCCCCAGTACATAGCTTGTCAGCTAAAGACCTTTCCTGACCATAGGCCTGGGTGTGGTCGGTGACTACCCCCTACCTGCCATCACCACAGGTAATGTGTGGACAGCTGCTTGAACACAGCCACATACCACACACATACAGACAAATGTGTCATTTCAATGTGAGGCGGGTGGCAGTAAACACTAGGCTGTACTCCCATACCATTAACTGGCAGGTTAGACGTGATATATTTGGTGTTTAAAGGCACAGTGAGGACTAGTCCATGCATGTGTATACTGTATACAAAGCAAATGAGTAGTTTGTTGTTTTAACGAAGCCTCTCTGGGCCATACAGTGCTGCAAAACGTCACAAGAGCACACTGTTATGGATCAGAGCTTCTTCCAGTTAAACCATACTGTGCTACTATACTCTCTCGCTCTCAACTCTAAAACTTTCTTTTCACCAGTCAACTGGTGAAAACTTAGTAAAACACAGTTTCAGGCTTAACAAAAGTGTAGAATGGGAATGTTTTAATACTTTGTCTAAAGGCTCAGCTGTGTTCTTAGAAACTCCAGAGAACCTAAATTGCATTTCTGCACTCTCAACTTTATTTATTCCAAATGACCGTTCCTGCAAAGTGCAGAGGGGTTCCACGTTGGTGCGACACCAGCCACAGTTGAATTCCTTCCTCATACTAAGCTTTATTTCCATCATATGTATCTACTCATCCATCCATCCATCAGGGAGAGCCTTGCTCACCTCCTCTGCTTGTCTGTCGACCACTATGATACTGGATTGTGTTTCAGAGAGCATGTTCATGAGTGGATAAGAAAAATACTTTAATAAAGTCCTGCATGCTCTGCAACATGTCAGCCCATGTTAAATCCAACTTCACAAAGCCAAAACCATGGCTTGCTTCTGGATTACCTCCAGGAGAGATGGGAAAATAATTACAGATCCAGTAAAACTGGGCAGAGCAAAAGAATATTGAAGCTCAGGGGCCTATTGCTACTATTAAAGTCAAGAAGCAGATGTGCTTTTACCCCCCTCTTTGTAGCTGTCACTCTATTCAGCCTACCCAGACTCCACTAAAAAGAGTCAAGATTTTTCAATGAGCCCAATTAAAAGCTAACGAATGAAAGTGAATGCGAGGACCTGTTTGTTTGTATTTATATGTGTTGTTAAATTTTCTGGATCCACTGATCTGCCATGGAAGCCCTTTTTGGTGAAGTGAACAAGGGACTTAAATTAGGAATGACACATTTTCAGAGCTTCCTTGATGCTGATACTAAAAGACCAACATTAGGGATCAATGGAATATCTTCTAAATGCATTTTCAAGATGTACTCTCTTATCGGCTAAAAATAGCCATCAAGCTGTCAGACGCATGGCTCAGTGATGATGGGCGCTGTGGTCAGAAAACATCTGGAGGATTTAGAGCAGGTTGTTTACCACTGGCTACAGCAGTAGTAGAGATGTCCAATGGTAACTGAAGTAGCATGGGTCTGTAGAATATCTTTTTTCATGCATCCACATATCACATTTCAGTTAGCCTTTTTCTTTCAAGCTTTTTTTTTTTTAACCTTGTCTTCCTATACTCTCCACCGCCCCCCTGCTACAACAGGACCAGAAAGTGATCTGTCTTGGCATTAATGTCACAAGAAATAATAAAGCAGTCGGCATCACCACCCCAGAGCCCTTGAGGAGTCCTATTACATTACGCTCAGATGATAATAACAGGGAACAAAGAGCGGTACTCTTTGGAACCCTGTGACATTTTCAATGATCAAGGTAAAGCTTCTGCATTGACGTGACGGCTGAAAATCTGCTCTCATGACCAGCTCATCTTCGACTGGCTTGCACACTCAGTTCTTCTGACTGCAGTGGTCTTCCTCGCAGTGATCTTAAACCTCTGTCCTCTACCAACCCATAAAACTCATCCAATCAATCCCTCATTTCCTGAAACAACACCGAAATTAGAGGGCAGTCTAATGTGCAATGGCTCCATCCACCATCAGTGAGGTGGAAAAACCAGCCATGTTTAACATTTGAACAACTTTGACATTATGGTGACTGACAAAATGCTCATCAACATAATTTATGTGTCTGTGAGAGAAAGAATGGTCAGAGTAAGTCAGTGATTTCTGGTCAGGGCAGGCATCGGTTGGTTATTATGTCAACACAGCATCCTGAGTGATGCAAATACAGAAAGGATGTAATGCCATCCACCATGTGCTGATTCTGAGGTGGAAAACTATTACACTTTCTTTGAGTGTGAATTCAGAGACTGAGCGACACTGACAACATTTTGGCTCTGCCTGTAATTTCCTGAGAGGCAGTCAATAGGGATCCCCATGCTGTGGGGATAATGGCAGCCATCACTGTAAACACATTCCTCTCTACACATGAGACTGAATTTAATGAAGGCATGCCTATTATAGTGTGCCTTCTTACAATGTTACTGGCTCTTTGTGAATGTTTAATCCCGTAGACTAAACCGTAGCAGTGAAACATGTCGCATCAGTGCTTGGGGTCAACATTCGAGTCTTTGGTGTGAGAGACTGCCTGGGAGGTTTGAATGTGTCACATGGACCCAGATGAAATCCTTTAATTGATGGGGGCTTGACAGAGACAAGAGCCACTGTACACAAAGTGAAGCATCTAGATCTGTGGAATTACACTACTTTCTATTGATCTGTGCTCAACACATGGTCAAATTACATTTCTAAGCCGTTTGCAAGCCTTCTTTCAGCTGTACTGATGTCATGAAAGCTCTGAACCCTAAACAGGCTACAGACATGCAGGGACAAAACACTCACTTTCAATCAAACACAAAAGAAAACTGTTACAGCCCAACTGCCACTTGAATTCCATAGTGAATGATTAGCCATGCTGTCCCAGAGAAGCAGAACCGTTCACCATTAATGTTAAATTTACTCTCGTTAAGCTTTTCTCCTTCTCCAACTGATTTTAGGCCTCCTTCTCTTTCTTTTGCACCATTCTCAACGTCTCCCAGTGGCCCCCTCCTCTCCCCTCCTGAGCCTTTGGGCTAATTTGAAGCCCAGGAGACAAAGGGCCTCTTTCAGCCATGTCAGTATGATCACAATGCCATCCTCAGTGCCCAAACTCCCTCCTATTTGACTGCCACACACGGTCGTCCTAGCACCCACAGAAGTACCAATAGAAGGGTGTCGTTATCGCCCATACATGGGGTAATCTACACTCTGGCCCCTTTTATCTAACAATTAGAGCTGGCCGGGGCACATGGCGATGCATCAGGGTGTTTATAATGGGACTGGCACCTGCAGAAAAGCCATCATGTAGACCACCAGTACACCACCAGTTACAGTAAAGCTATAGAATGGGATATGCACAAACAAGCTGTATTCCCATTCTATCAAATGTATAATAAAAATATAATAATTAAATAACCAGAACCAGGGGTTTTAGGAGGAATCCTGTCTTTGTAGAATGTCATTGTGATCAAGATGACGCATGAATGACTGAAAGCAGTGAAGTTGTGGTGTAGAAGAGAATTATCTAAGATTGTAATTATGTAAGAATGTTAACACTCTGTTATAATTTTTTTAGTACATTACTTGTGTGGTGTAGAAGTGAATTATTTATGTAGAGATACTGCTTGCAAACCAATGATGGTAAGATGATGTCATGGGGTAGGACTGGATAAGTCTGACTTCTTCCTACTCCATTCAAGCATGTACTAGGTATAAGCACATTGATATTGGATTAGCATTTGTTGGATATGTGTAAAATTATGTGTGTTGACATATCAACTGTCTTTACATGCTTGAAAGAATAAATAAATCAAAATCAAATCAAATCAAGTTTATACAGGGGAACTGACAAATCTGTTTCAAAAACATGTCTGGGGAGGTACATCTGGCTTCAATAACGCCCAGCATATAACATAATAATGACATCATAATGACCTAATTATTGTGGAATTTAGAGCTTTCCAGAACTAACATGGCTGTGAGGGTCTTTTTTCACTAATCCCAGCAAGAAATGCTGCTGGTATCTGCCTCAAGGAGTGACTCACTGAAAACAGTGAATCCTGCAGCTGTGCATTGAAGATTTTAGACTCGCTCAGGAGGGGAGGCTCTTTTCTACTCTCCTCTCTACCAATTACATTGGAATTACCAACTTGACCTGCAAAACTGCAGACTCAACTAAATCTGCTGTGCACAAACACAAAGATTTGGGACATGGCTGGGTTTAAGTACCACAGAGCAAGAGCATTATACAGAGAGGAGAAACAGAATATACAGTGGTGTGAAAAAGTGTTTGCCCCCTTACTGATTTCTTCTCTTTTTGCATGTTTGTCACACTGTAATGTTTCAGATCGTCAAACAAATTTATATATTAGTCAAAGATAACACAAGTAAACACATCATGCAGTTTTTAAATGAAGGTTTTTATTATTAAGGGAAAACAAAATCCCAAACTATATAGCCCTGTGTGAACAAGTGTTGGCCCCCCTGTCAGTTCACACAGGGCTCTATAGTTTTGGATTTTGTTTTCCCTTAATAATAAAAACCTTCATTTAAAAACTGCATGATGTGTTTACTTGTGTTATCTTTGACTAATATATAAATTTGTTTGACGATCTGAAACATTACAGTGTGACAAACATGCAAAAAGATAAGAAATCAGTAAGGGGGCAAACACTTTTTCACACCACTGTACAAGTTATGGCCAGTGCACTCCTCTAGAGTGTTACATCTCTCCTCATAAAGCCAAATTCTTCAAACAGGCTCCATTGTTATTATTCTAGCCTTTCCTTGGCTGCCAAGGCAACATGAATCGTTTTTTTCAAAGAAATCCATCTTAAGGTGAAAGGCTTCCTCCATCCTCCTGTTGGAATCTTTTTTCATCCATTTATATGTCTCCCTGTCGTTGACCTAGCAGGCAGAGCGAAGCACTACCGATATGGCGACGGCCAGACTTGAGCTTCAACACCGCTCAGAAAACCAATGAGTGACGTCACAGTGGGTTTGTCCAGTGGTTAAGCAGTATATTGCAGAGGCATGTTCTCTTTTACAAAAGAGCATATCTGCCACGGCCTCAGTGTTTTCACTGTAATTATGACTCTATCCTGGATCACACTGGGTAGAAGGCATCACATTAAGCCTGAAGGCAAGGTGTCACTTCAACCGTTCTATCCTAAGGTTATTACAGCATGATTTATCTGGTCATAGCATGTCACACCAGTCACTGACTTTATAATTACACCATAAAATATAGGCTTGGACAGAAATACTGAAAGAATCAAAGGTGAAGGAATGTAGTTGCACTCTTTATGCAGTGCCCCGTCGAGCACTACAGCATTTGGACTTGGGCTGTGGGAGGACAATTGATTTGCCTCTTCATTTGAAATGATTCTTTGCATCCAATAAAAAGTAACAGTGAAAAGTTTCTTCCCAGATTCTACTCTGCAGGGCTTGAGACTGAACAGCAATAAATATCTGGTGTTTTTTTTGCAGCTTTAGACAGATAAAAAGCACCACACAACGCCATCAACAAACACACCCATTAATGTCAATAGCTGCAGGCAAACGAGCAGACAACCCTCTGCTTCAGTTCAGATGCTTGTTCATTTTCAAAGTACTGACACAATAAAGAAACCAGAGCAATGCAGTGTCTTCTGATGAACAGCAAAAAAAAAGCTATCCAGTTCTCTGGTGTGTGCTGTGATTCTGTTTCTGGGTCTCCCCCTCTTACCTCTCTCATCTCTTGGTAGATGGTGTTCAGACGTTCATTCTCAGACTGGGTGTTGGTGAGGATGTTGCGCGTCTGACGGAGCTCAGTCTGCAGCTCCAGGACCCTCTGCTCATAGAAGGCCTCCTTAGAGGCCGACTCCTGGATAAGAGACTCCTCACGGCTCTCCCCATCTGCTGCAACCTTCTTGTGGTTGGAGTGAGCTTGTCCAAAGGCCTGGAGACAGTAAAGGAGGAAAAGAGCTATTGGTTAGAAACTATAGTGTACAGAGTAATGTGAGTAGTGTTTGTTGCTGGTTGTTAATAATATTTCATGGTCAAATTAGAATCATCTGTGAATGAATCACTGACTATTACAATTCAGCCATTTTTAAGTGACACTAATCTTCTCCAGTTTGCCCCATCTCTCCCTCCCCTCCCCACAGGACGTTGGCCTCCTCTGCACATGCTCTGTAGTGACTCCACAGATGGGAAAGTAGGAAAAGTATAGCAAGTGAACTAGTGTCTGGAATCTAGCAGAATCTAGATTACTTTCTCCCTTCTCAAAATAATCACCCCACTGATAACAGAGTTCATTTCCAATGCTGTGGCCACCAGTGATCTGTTAAACATCCTGCTCTCATCACACAGCTCAAGCACAGCCAGTAATCTGAAATCACCAGAGACACTGAATCTGACCATGTCTGCAGCTGCAGATGAGTGGATTTTATGTTTGACTGTGTTAAATCCAGTCAGTACTTTAGAGAAAGGAAAATGTGGAAATTTGTATTAGTCAAACTGACCTACTTGCAGGACTTAATGTGTAAAACTAGTTTAATGGGTTACAGACATGTGTGACATCATGTCTCGTGCATGGTGGCTAGAATGTCTCACATTACAGGGGAGATGATGGTCTGAGCAGGGAGATAGCGGGGCCGAACAGATAACGCTGGAGCACAATGTGCCTTATTCTGATACAACTGCAGTTTGATGTGGTGCCAAGTTGGACAGTGACATAATGAACTTCATCTTTCTATGGACACACTTGGACAAAACTCTTTATATACACAACAGAACAAGGTCAAAACTGCCTAGTTTTAGCTTCTCAGTCTTGACAATTTATTGCTCTTCTCTGTCTTATGTGACAGTGAGCTGAATATCTTTAGGTTCTGGACCTTTGGTCGGCCAAAACAAGTGATCTGAAGATGTCGGCTAAGCTTTGTGAGAAACTTTTTCACAATTTAATTTCATGTCATGGACTCCCTCCCCCCAAAAAGATCACCCCGTCAATCAGCAGGAGGCTTATTTGATTAGAAAGTCATTAAAAAAGATGGGATTAACCTAATCACAAACCAGGGGAATCCCATCATTATAATCTTGGTGCATGGTAGATATCAAAAAGACTCCAATCAGTCCGCTCTAAGAGGCCTGTCCTTCAAAGATAAAGCAGAGCCCCGAGTCAAAACAATGGTTTCTCTGGTGATGAAGTTCAATTTACACCCAGGGTGTTAATCTCAATCTGCCATCTGTAGGCATATCTTTCTACAGAACAAAGGTTGCTACAACAGTGGTTTCAATAGGAAGTTTTACATAGACTGTGTGGGTTTCTGGTGGAACAGGGTGTAATTGTTGCATTGTCTAATATGAGCCAAGAAATAGCCTACAGAGGCAGCTAATTAGAAGGTGAGAAAACCAAGGCTCAGCGGTAAATCAGGCCATTCTGCTGTGTGGTCCCTATAACAAAGGGCAAATGCTAAACACTGGATTCTGAAGGCTTCAGCCCAAAGCTAATGGTCAACACCTCACATGGTGCAGTAAAACTAAAGTCGTGGAGAATATAGGTCAGAGTTCACTCTGGTGTTCCCAGCTCAGAATCCTCCTGCGCATGCTTCTCTAATCCACAGAGCACAAGAGAGAAGAAGCACTGGGTCTCTGATAGATAACAGATCAATACTGCTGCTCTCAGAAGCGCAGAGGAGCTGAAGTAATCGGAATCTGAAATTCTATTCTCAGCTTCTGTTCCACTGGTGGAGAAAAGTGTTTCTGCACGAAGTGAGAATGTTGAGTGGGTGGCACTTTCTCAAGAGATACAGTCACTGCTGACCCTCTGCAGTGGGGTAGGAAACCAAAAATTACATTAGTTCATGATTGTGCTAATGTACATATGAGCTGTATACAGGGCTGTGCTTTGGTGTACGGCTCAGGAAGCACAGTCACTGAAAAAAGTCACATCTGCATATGGCAAAAATCCAACATTTAAAGCTGATGAGACAGAGAGATGGCTTTCCTTATCCAAGCACTGATTTTGAGGCATAATGCTGATTTGACAATCTCACTAGACTAGCTGATGCCAGATAGGGCACAGCAGGACATGCCTGGTGCAGTACCAGATGACACACCCTCGAGATGCAGAAATGCGATATGTGAATGGAGATCAGTGTGCGCTGATGTTGAGCTGAGTCTTTTCAGCAGCTTACTTGTGCTAGGACAAAGACAGACTGTGACTTGTGCTGAACAATATAAACCTGTGTCTTTTGAACTGGTTTAATTATTCATACGGATGATCAGACCGTTGGGGGCGGCCCTGGATGCCAGAGCAGTGTGTCAACAACACTGAAGGTTGTCATTGTAGCAGACTGCAGAGGAAGAGAGGTGGAGCAGAACAAAACGAAGATGGATTCTCCTGCCACGTGAATCAGAGCTCACATGGAGCTGCAGTTTGCCCTGACAAACAGAGACATGCCATCTCTCCTCCTACGTTCACAGACCACCGTAAGGCCAGTGACTTGGAAACTTGTCTGCTATCAACTGTTTATAACACACATCTCTTGAGGTTAAAAGGGATCTGAAAAACCAGTGGCTCCCTGCCAACAAATATCTACGACTTAGCACTGCAGGCGGACTCACTGCTTTGCACTCAACAGCCCTACTACACTATACTTTAGGACATAATGGCTCCCCATGGTAGTCCTGCGTCAACAAGCTCTATGCTGAGGTTCTGTGAGGAATGTTCCCCATCTCACATGACGGTATGCTTGTTTTAGTTACCTCAGTGTACTGAGAGCACTGTTGCTAATTAGTCCATGTCATCCCAAAGCCAATGACCCTTGCTATAATGAGTAACAGAGAGGCTGTTTATTTACTTCAGGCTTTGCAGTGGTGGTGGGATGGGAATGGAAGTGAGAGATTCACTGTCATCCCTTCACACATGTGGACGCTATGATTAACTCTGCGCTGCACCTCTCTCTCTCTCTCTCTCCTGACCATTTCTGACCAGATCAGCAACTTTAAATTGGGAACTTTCATGCCAGGATTTTCTACATGTGAATAGGCATAACTATAAAAAAAAAACATTTTTTAAAAAATGAAGAAGCTGTCATATTTAACAGTTAAATAAAGGATAGGCATTATATGTGCCAAACTGAAGGAGGAGGAAAAACAGAAAAGAAGAGGGTGAGACAAACAAATGAGGCAGAGATATTAGCTGCTGTCTGGCACAGAGCCACATTGATTCACTGCACAGCACAGAGACGGGTAGAGGCTGGAAAGTTTAACACACTCAACACACATCTCACTTCCAAATTTCCTGGTTTGCCCTGAAGTCAGCCATACTGTAGCATCTGGCATTCTAGCCAGGACAAGGCTTGCTCTCTCCTCTGAGACAAAGAAGAGGAGAGTGTTCAAAGCCTCATAGGGGTTTCCACAAATATGCATCTCTTTTTTTCCAACATATACACTAAAGGTGATGCAATGCATGCCAAAGGCAAAGAAGAGTCTGCAGAGAATAGAAGAAATGTGGGTGGTAGAGAAACATACCCAACATGTGAGTCCAAAAGAAATGATTTTGCCTCCAGTACACTGGCTGAGCATTATGCTCTCATCATGAGACTTGAAGAACATGAACCTAAAAAACAACCACAAAGCTGTGCCAGACTGTGCAGCTCCTGAGCTGCAGGCCAGGACGAAGAAAGAGAGAAGACCAGAGGGGACGAAGAAAGAGAGAAGACCAGAGGGGACGGAGCCATTGGGAGAAGGTAGACCCATGCATTTAAAGCACACCAGTATGCACACACAGAGATCTGAATGTAAGAGTGACACATTAATCAGATTCATGGCACCCTTTACATCTCACTGATGAAGTCTCTCTTTCAAAAAAATAAGAATAAATTAAAATAGTATACTACAGGAGCTCAGTGATACCAACTTCACATAGGCCACAAATCTGAAGTCAGCATTACAGATTCTGTGTGAAGTTAGTCTTCAATCAGATAAGACATCATCTATATTCATCATACATCTAAAAGACAGGAGAAAACACTATAGCTCCTTTATAAAGGTGAAACACCTGCAAAAGGAGGACGACCAAGACCCCCACTGCCTTCCACTGTCTGCCTCAGGCTGAAGGCTCTACAGTGTGGGCGTTTATGGACTGACTCCTGTGGAAAACAGTCATTATGCTCCTGGCAGCACAGACTAAAGAACCAGGGTTTGAGAACAGTTTATTTAGCCTTCAGTGTAAGTGATGTATAAGATGGCAGCTACTAAGGTTCCAGAATATGCAGTGTAATGAGAAAAGATCATTTTCATGCCACTCCTAAGTGAAATACAGTCTCAAACCATCATGATCCACTATCAACATTTACAAAAGATTCATCTGTTCCGTTTTGTACAATGGGATAGATGAACCACAAGATTTTAAGCTCTACTCGTTTTCAGTATTTAAACCTAGCAGTTCATTAATCACAAGGAAGCATCTGTTTATTCCTGGTCGTTCACTGGGTCTGTTGTTCAGCTTCTACATCTACAACATAATGAAGGACAACTAGTGTCTGAAAGGAGAGCAGAGATTCAGTAGGTTTCAATTCAATGTAGTGCAACACGGTTTATTCTTTATCACTGCTCATATCACTGCAATATTCCATACCAGCTCTGGTTTTGCCTCATCTCTGCCTGCCTGTAGCCAGCTTGTTCATTTCCCCTCTCTGCCTGACACTCCGGCTGATGTCTCCCAGGTCCACGTGCCCACACCCCAGGGGAACAGCTGTTGTTATAGTTACAATGCCAATTGCAGTGACAGAGTGAGAGGCGGTCAGTAAAGGCAGGGCAAGGGGTGCCGCCGACACAGATGGCTATTAGAGAGCTCAGCCTCACACAGCTTGCTCTACTCCTTTTTGCTTTGGCTAAAGTCCTCACCCGTGTGCCGTTCCTCTCCACTCTGAGGTCTGTCTGCACAAACCT